GACATGCAGTAAAAAAATTAATGAGCAACGTTGTAGAAGCAACAATCTTGACAGGACCTTTCAAAGGTGAAGATATCCTCATTCCTCGCATTCCTATGATTCCAGCGGATATGCCATTTCAATTTAAGAGATTGCAATTCCCAATTCGATTGGCGTTTGCAATCACCATCAACAAAGCTCAGGGCCAATCTTTAGAATTGTGCGGTTTAGATCTAGACACGGATTGCTTCTCACATGGACAATTATATGTTGTGTGTTCTAGAGTCGGCAAACCAGACAATCTCTATTGGTAGAAATCAAAGAAGACTTTTAGTTCTTCTTTAATATTTTTAAATTATAAAATAATTACCTGTATAAGTAAAAATAGTAAAAAATAAACAAAACAAGAGGTCATTTTTTTTCTATTTTTTGAAACATTCTTCTCAAATGATACGGGTTAGGCCAGTCTTTTGGAACAACAAAAAATATTGTATACCCAAAAGCATTGTGAAATTAAACATATTAGAAAAGTGCGCTTTCTCTTTTCTTTCTTTTCCATTTAACCAGACTGAGCCACAGCAACGCACGGCCGGGTACAGCTAGTATAAAATAAAAATGTTAAGTAATAAGACTTATTGCGACATAGTTTGTGTTTTTTAAACCTCCCTCCCTTTAGGAGTAATATCTTGTAATCAATGGAATCTTAGATTTAATAAATACAGTAATTACCAAATTACTGTATTTATTAAATTTTAATTTAACCAAAAATTAAAACCTTAATAAGATGAAGCACTCCTACAAAACAAGAGACTTATGAATCAGTTTTTAAAAATGAGCAAAGAAAAAGAAGAAGCAGTTTACACAAACATTAAATGGCCACAAACTTATTGGCGAAGTAGTCTGCCTCACTAGGCCAGAACTGGAGTGTTGGGGAAAGGAAGACATGGACTTCTGACTCATGTTTCTAGGTGGCTCTCTTGACGTCCCTTGTCCCCTCCCTAAAGACCCATCTAACTAGTGAGTTTGGGAAAGGCAATTCCTGGTAGACCTCTGTATCCAGCCACTTCTCTTTCCTTATGAATTGCCAATTCTCTGCTTCTCCATGTGTGCTTTCCAAACAGAGCTTCAATGACAAATCTGTCATCTTCCCACTCTGCCTGGGATAAAAATGGGAAAGATTAATTGCAGAATACAGTATTTGGAAAACTACTGTTATCATGGACATAGGCCATGCTGTCCAACAGCTTTATCAATAACATAGGTAAAATCCTCCATCATACACACACACACACACACACACACACACACACACACACATACTAGAGGCCCGGTGCATGGATTTGTGCACTGGTAGGGTCCCTCTGCCTGGCCTGCAGGGATGGGCTGAAATCGGCTCTCCGACATCCCCTGAGGGTTCCCAGATTGTGAGAGGGTAGTTCTCAGGTGATATACCCTGGAATCAGGCTCCCTCCTCTCTTCTCCCAATACTATGTCACTTTCTATATTTACCTTGCTTCTTTCATCTCACTTTACCCTAAGTTTGGCGGTAACTGATGCCTTGTGGGCATTTAGCTGCAAAATGCAATTATTTAGCAAGCAGGATTTACTTAGCTTGGAATCTAGTCATCCTAGGGCAGGACCTTGCTCAATGTCAGGCTTCCGCTCAGGCCCTTCAGACCAGGCAGAGTACTATGGCAGTGGGGAACTTCCTTCTTCCCATCTGAGCTGCTCCTTCGCCTCCTTTCCTCCCTGGAGGTTGCCTGCTGACAATACTGTCTGCCTGGAAGAAGAGAAGCTGTGGCCGGTTTCCCAGCCAAGAGTGGAAGTGGAAAAATTCACTGCCTCCACTGGAAATCAATATTAAGCAGATGGGCCGGCGTGGGTGCCATATGTCAGGGCCGCAGCCAGTAGGTCCTGCAAGTCTCATCATTTAGCTAATTGAGTTGAAAAGTTTCTGTAAGGGCCAGACCCATGATCTCTGCAATTGGCTAGAGGCCTGGTGGGGAGCCAGACCCGAAGTGGGGAGCCAATGGGCTAGAGGCCTGATGCATGGATTCATGCACCAGTTGGGTCCCTCAGCCTGGCCTGTGAGGATTGGGCCAAAACCAGCTCTCCAACATCCCCTGAGGGGTCCCAGATTGCGAGAGGGCGGTTCTGGGGTGATATACCCCGGAATCAGGCTCCCTCCTCTCTGGTTCCGGATACATCACCCAAGAACTGCAGATGCCAAGTCACCACAGCTCAGCAGCTCCTGCGTTGAGCGTCTGCCCCCTAGTGTTCAGTGTGTGTCATAGCTACTGGCTGCCTGGTTACCTGAGCCTCAGGCGGCTCTGGGTGGCTGGGAAGCTGCCATCGAGGCTTGCCTGCACCTCGGGCTGGCCCTGGGCGGCTAGGGGGCTGAAGGGACTGGGCGACTCTGGAGGCAGGCGCACAGCAAGGCCGGGCCCCCGCACCTTGCCATGCACCTGTGGCCCAGGCAGGACTGAGGAGACTGGGCGCCACCATCTTGTGGTTGTGGGTGCTGCCATCTTTGAGGGTGGGTCAGCAATTAGCATATTCCCTCCTTATTGGCTGTGGGCGCCATCATTTTTGTGATGGCATGAGGGTCAATTTTATTGATTTCAGAGGGGGAGAGGAAGAGATAGAAACATCAACGATGAGAGAATCACTGATTGGCTACCTCCTGCATGGCCCCCACTGGGGATTGAGCCCATGTGCCCTGACTGGGAATCGAACAATGACCTCAGGGTTCATAGGTCAACATTCAACCACTGAGCCATGCCAGTTGGGTTATTCTCCATCTTCTTGATTCCTGCATTTGACTCTTATTCTAAATTAGGCAGAAAGGTAAGAGGGTATCATTAATTCTCTCAAGCCCCATCAACTATCTTTTAAAAAAAAATTTGTTGATTTGATAGTGAGAGGAAGAGAGCATCACTTCTGTGAGTCATATCTTTTCTTTTAACCCTCAGCTAGGATATTTTTCCCATTGATTTTTAGGGAGAGTGGGAGAGAGAGGGAAAGACAGAGAGAAATATTAATGTGAGAGAAATACATCTATTGGTTGCCTTCTGCAGGAGCCCTGACCAGGGTCCAGGCCGGTGAGGAGCTTGCAAACAAGGTGCGTGACCTTGACTGGAATTGACCAAAGGGTCCCGGGCTCTATCCACTGAGCAAAACTGGCTAGAGCTGTTAGTAATATCTTCATCTCACAGCCTAGTGACTTCTTTCAATGTCTTGAGTCATCTAAACATCTGTGATATACATAGAAAAGTAAAGCTAAAATTGACAAAATCCTAAATTTGACTGAATGAATACCATGAGCTTATTTTTAAAAGTCTGTCACCCTGCAAGGTAAACTTTCTTACAAGTATGTATCCTTAAAACTTAGAGTATAAGGCACTGCCTAGTTTCAACAATATTTGTAGAATAATTAAAAAAACTAAAAGGCTGAGGTAGTTCTCTAGAAACAGAATATATTAGTAAACTCATAATGAAAAGAATAATCTAAGTAATCTATAGATATTTGAGAGATCTAAAGTTTTGAGGTCAAAGGAGAAAAGGTCTTACCACCCTTTATTTTCCATTATTTTTCTCATTTTCTACCCTCTTCTCCCCATGTCCCTCTTAAACTTCACTTCTTTTTCACCTTGTCTCTATCTCACTTGGGATTTCTCTTCCTTTTCTTGCCCTCACAAATCCTTTACTCCCCTAACTTAATAATTGAGGAAATGCATATGAGTTTTTACAATTATATGATCTTGCCTTCAACTATATGCTTCTGGTTCTAAAACACTGCATCCTAACTGCGGCTTGAGAGCCACATGTGGCTCTTTGGCCCCTTGACTGTGGCGCTTCCTAAGCCTTAGGAGTACCCTAATTAAGTTAATAACAATGTACCTACCAATATAGTTTAAGTTTAAAAAATTTGGCTCTCAAAAGAAATTTCAATCGTTGTACTGTTGATATTTGGCTCTGTTGACTAATGAGTTTGCCGACCACTGTGCAATTGGAAAATCCAATAGGTCTGCTACTACTTATTTTTTTGATCGTGGGCAAATACTTTTCAAAAGAAAAAGAACTAAAATGTTCTATTACAAAATTTAGACACATAGCTAACTAGTATAATGAACTATAGCTATAACATCTACAATATACAATAGGTTAAGTATTTTCCACATACCAAAGCAAGTGCAAAATTAAAGTAGATAAGGTTACCCAAGACATTCACCTATGGTTCAAATTTTGTTTCCACTTTGTTTTAATAAGGATAGAAAGGTAACCTTTGCATTTATGGGCTACTCAAGTCTCCTTTAATGTAAAGCCTCCCTCCCTCTTTCTCTTACATTTGTTAAACAAAACCAAATAATATACCCTGTAAAATTGCCCATTCTGGACTCTCTGGACTGCATCCCATGGAAGCCTCTAACATGTTCCTCTGTCCTGGGTGTTTCTCATTATCAGATAGATCTGGGGGCTTGATCAGATGCAGGTTTTTTGTTTTTTTCCTGGGAAGACACCTCACAGGTGGTGCTGGGTGCTCCTTTTCACTGGCTTGTACTGGAAAGCACATTGAGATTGACTAGTAAATTCAGGTCTTGACCTCTTGATCCACTCCTTTTCAATTAATAATGTTTGCAGCTATTGATAACCATTGCCTAGCTCTTGTCAATTAAGAATTGCAAAAGAGCAATATTTTAACAACACTCCTTCTGCATTAACCGGAATAATTCTACATATCACACAGATTTTTTTCCCCCCTTCAACTATCTAATTACTTGGGGTAAGGCATATAAATGCTTCTTTCTTTCCCAGATATGAGTTTTCAAAATAATTCCTCAATATCCTTCCAAAAATGACTAAATTTGTTCATTTCTTATTGCTATTATCATTTGAATGCATAATTTACATATTTAAACTGTTACAATCCATTTTTGTTATGTTTATTGGTCATCAAATACTTGAAGTTGGGTCTTGAGCTTTTTAGACAACACCAGTGGTATTTGAGTTGTTCTGCTTTAGTGATATTAAGGTGTTACTGTTAAATTTTTAGATGTGAAATACACTGTGGTTTTGTTGGAGGAGAGAATACCTAATGTATAAAACACTGGACTCAAGTATCTCAGATTTTCTTAAAATAAGCTAGTGGCAAGTAAGTTGAGATACAGAAACAAGTTTGGCCACATGTTTTGAAGTTAGTATTAACCATAGTTACACTATTGTTTTTTATATTATTCTTTTGTATACATTTGAAAAATTCAATAATATAGTTTAATACCATTTTAGTGGTAAAAGTTAAAAATGTCATGATTACAGAAAAACCATGCCCACACAGATAGTTTCTGAAAATTATATCAAAATACATTCAGGGGAAAAAAAATAACATCTATACAACCTCACTTTCCACTCAAGAAAAATTTGGGTATTTGAAGATAAGAGATAGTTTGACAAGTGTGATTCTTAAAGTATTCTTTATTAAGAGCATTAAAGTTGCAGAAACAACTTTATATTGTAAAGGCACAGGGAGACAGTTCTGGTAAATTATTCCAATTAAACAGTAACTTACAGTACAAAAAACAACTTTAATGCACATACAAACCCCAAATGTCTGATTCAAAAATATTTTACTGCACCTATTAATGGGCAATGATTAAAAATATAAATTGTTGCTATATAATAAATATCTGATAGTGAATATCTTGATAGCAAAGTGAACAAAAATTTATTGCTTTTCACATACAATTTTCCCTGTTAAATTCCTAACTCTTTTACTACCTTCTCAACTTTCTGAAGAAAATTCCACATAATTTTACAAGGAAATGACAGGTTTACAAAACTCCCTCATGCAGCTATGATTGCTGGCAGCTGTTCTCTCACTTCCTATTCTGCAATCACAATCACTTCCCAAAAGTAAGATAAATGTTTGCTAAGCCACAGAAAGACAACCTTTCTGTAACTGGCATTCTAAGATTGGTAATGAAGACTTATCAAATGTAAAAGGTGCTCCATTTTGAAAAAGTATTATTTTGTTGGAAGTTTTGAGTGAAGGCTTGTAATTTTACCTATTCCCCTCGAAAGTTTTTCTAAGTTGTAAAACATCAGCATAGTAAAATTTCCAGCACTCAATGTTTGAAGGCTAGTTGATATATTAATGTACTGATGTATAAAAGTTAACACACTGCAATCTATTTTACAATGAAGAAATCTTATCCTTCTTCCAGTTTTAAACTGGAATTATCTTTATTAAGAACATCCTGCTCTTTTTATAGCAACCTGGTTATAGATGGCACAAGTAGAATTTCCATCACAAAATAAAATAACATGAAATCAGGAGCATCCTAATTTAAGAAATACCTACATAAAAATATTTGATCATCATTGTAAAGTTGCTTAACCATGTCATGTTCAGGCAGTATATGGCAGCTAGTAATATGCGTGACACAGAGCTGTGGCTCAATAAATAGTTGCTAAATGCATGAAAAACAGAAGAAAAACCTGGCTTTGGTTGTGCATATTTTAATCACTTTCTGATTAATAAATAATAAAGTCAGTCTAGAACTAGAACTAAATACTGCACACTACACCAAACTTTGTCATACACAAAGTAATGATTTCAAACAAAAATAATATCAGTTAGTGATAGTCACTATATGTCAATTATAACTTTTTAAGAAAGCCCACAAATTTCACATATTTATTAATTTTTATCCACATACTTAATTTTTTAGGTTTTGATGTTTAACAACTGGGTAATGAAGACCATGTTGGGCAGACTGGCTACAGTATAAATTACTAGTCCATTCATTAATAAAAAGTCATGAGGCCTGATTAGACTCAAATGGTGACACCATGTTACTTTTGAAAAACTACCGATTAATAAAAGTTAGAATATCTTTAAGTAGCCTATGCTGGGAAGCAGTAGCTTAACTTTTCAAGATAAAAAAATAACCATGGAGATATGAACTTAATAATGATAAAGAACATATTGCAAGTAGGACAATAAGAGTGAGTAAATGACCAATTTTAAATTCTAACCATGGGACTAGGTCTAATATTTCTTTGGCATATGCACTACTATTTTAGACTAGTTAGCATTTAAAAAATATTGGGGTTATATTTTCCTGTCAAAATTAACATCAAGGTGAAAACTACTAACACACTCTTCTTAAAGCCTTTTAAAGGACAAAATGACATTTAGTAACATATGCCAACTTCATGTTTAGTGTACAATTCTAATTACTGGCACAGAGAGATATAACTGTTAAATAACCTTAAATGAGCTCATGCAATGGTGAAACCACAGAAAATGGGAAGAAAAGTATTTACATAATAAAATATTCAGCTTCCTGAAAAAACACAGTAAACCTAGAAATCCTGTCCTAATGGTTAACATGTACTGCATAGCACTGAATTAAAACTAGTCCAAATTTAAAAGTAACCTGCATGTGTAAGACTGAAGGAAAAACATAAAAATAGAAAAAAAAATTAGGAAGGAAAAAGTAGCCTATAAAACAGGCCAATCTAATGTGACATTCAAAGTAAATGTAAGAGATTCACAAAATCATGATACTAATGCAAACTAAGTCAAGTATACCAAGTACCCTTTGATACACAAGCCAATATAACTATCAGATTCATTTCTAATAGCTTGACAATATTAATTAATGCACTCAGGCATTCAAGGGACAAAGCAGACAAGGATAGCTCAAGTTTCCAAAGTGTAAGAACAAAAAGATCTGCAAAATAATCATATGGTTTTTGAAGTAATGTCTTATTTTGATGAACGTTAACATAAGATGTATCAGTGCACGTTTGTCATCCTCTGAAAGTATTACTTCCAAGATTCTTTTTTCCAGCTAGTTTTTGGTGGTTTAGTATTAGCCAGTGCTATTTAAATGGAGAAAAGAAAAGTTCACCATAAGATGTATCAGTGCACATTTGTCATCCTCTGAAAGTATTACTTCCAAGTTTCTTTTTCCCAGATAGTTTTGGTGGTTTAGTATTAGCCAGTGCTATTTAAATGGAAAAAAAAAAAGTTCACCATAGACTACCTCACATTGTTACTCAATTGAGCTAGATATTCCCGCAGTTCTTTTGCAGCCTGGAATCTGCCGTAGCGTTTCTTTGGGTTGGCGCACTCATCCAGCAAGGCCTCTAGCCGGCCATCTTTGGCAATTTCACTTGGTGGATCATGAAGGAGTCCTCCAGACGTGCCACGCCAGGTGGCATGTCTGGATAAGAGGTTCTGACAAACAGCATAATAATTGTGGTCCACAGTGGCACGAGCACAAAGAATTTCTTTTGAAAATGATAAACAAGCCTCCTTATCACAATCATCAAATTTACTTTCATACCATACATCCCAATTTTCAGGTTTATCTGTAAAAGGAGGAAGAGCAGAAAGAGGAAAATATATTTTAAGAGTTTTTATTGATTCCCAATTTGACAATACCCTAATTAGCATAGTATTTGTTCTTAAAATTGTATTATAATTTTAAACATTTAAGTATATTAATTTACATAAAGATTTCTTGGGAGCACATCCATGCCAAGCAGAGGATCAAACAAGGTGCCTACTACTGAAGAGTTCAGTCTAGAGGGAAACCTTCTAATCACATAAAGTGGCATACAGTAGTATAACACAGGAATACAGAGGAAGCACTACTTCTGTCTGGGGTTGTAGAAGGCTGCAGAGAGAACATCTGATTTAGGCCTTAAAATATAAGCAAGCCTTAAAAAAAAAAAGGAAAAGCAGCATTTTAGGCCGAGGGTACAGTATGTGCAAAGGCATGGACCTAAGGGACTGATCCAGCTAGTTCAGGAAACTGTAAGTTCTCTGTGGCTAGAATGTGAGACAGGTACCTGGGAAGGAGGTATAGCAGAGGCTAGAGAAATAAGTTCTACCTTGTGTAATCAAGACCATGATTTGTTTTACAGAAAGATATCTCTAGGCTGAAGACTGGAGGGACTAACATAATGACAGCAACTAAAGGAGGTCCAGATAAAAAAAGCAAAAAAAAAAAAAAAAAAGCCAGATTGTAGAAACATTTGAGACAGAAATTAACAGGTAAGTGTATGAGTAAAGTTTAAGGTCCTAATTAGATGAAAACCTAGACACTATTAACATAACAGTGTTTATATATATAAAGTAAATATAAAGTGGTTATGAGATATTCAGGTGTGGACATGTAATATATGCAACTGAAGCCAAAGGGACAGAATACATATTTAGAGTGCATCAGCATAAAAGGTTTGGTGGAGCCAAGAGAATGGCTTAATTGTATTGAAAATATGTTGAAAGCAAAAGGGAAAAAAAGACTGACAGAAGAACATTAAAACTGAAGGGGTAGAGATGTTAGTGAAAGAAACTCATTCATTCAGAAAGTAATTATTTGAATGCCTGCTCTATGGCAAGCAGGGTGTCTAATGGTAAACAAAACAGATTATATACATGGCTCCTATCCTCACTGGCTTACAATCCAGTATGTGAAATAGAAACTAAGCAAGTAAACAAACATTATCATAAATTGTAGGAAATTCTATGAAGGAAACAGGAGTTTTTAACAGTAGAAAGACTTATGAAAGAAACAACCTAAAGTTACATACAGCAGTCAAGTCAAGTCTCTCTTAGAGTTAAAATTTAAGCTAAGGCTTGAAGGACAAGTACCTAACAGCATATAGAAGAGAGATGTGGTATTTTAGGCAGAGAAAACTGCATATGGGAAGCCCAGAAGTGGAAAGGTTCATTCAAGAAACCAAAAGGCCATTTTGGCTGAGGCAACAAGGGCAACAATGGACGGAGGGATATTAAAAACGAAGCAGAATAAGGTCAAGTCATACAGATTATGCCCTGGGGAGGAATTTGAATTTTACTTGAAGAACGATGGGAAATCATTAAAAGTATTAAGCAAGGAAACGATAAGATCAGATTTATGTTTTTAAAAAGGAACTATGTGATAAGTAGAAGGAAACCAAAGGAGTAAAGAATTTCATGAAGTTTTTACTAATCAGTGACGTCAGGAATTGGCCAATTAGATGGTCGCTAATGGTAATGCAGATTTCTAAGTGAGGTTTTAATGGTTGAGGAATGAATGGAGACTCAGGAAGCAGAGCTAGGCAGATTTTAAAAACAGTTGAAAAGCAACAAACTTGCTTATGGGAAGGTAAGAGAAACTGGATTTTAAGGAGGGTAGAAAATTAAAGAAGACAACTGATGCAGCAGGTTCTCAAAGAAGGCTCTTTACTGTGTCTGAAGAAGAGGGATGAGTATGTACTGTTTTTACTGCTTAGACAGCGGTTCTCAACCTGTGGGTCGCAACCCCTTTGGGGGTAGAATGACCCTTTTACAGGGGTCGCCTAAATACATCCTGCATATCAGATATTTACATTACGATTCATAACAGTAGCAAAATTACAGTTATGAAGTAGCAACAAAATTAATTTTATGGTTGGGGTCGCCACAACATGAGGAACTGTATTAAAGGGTCGCGGCATTAGGAAGGTTGAGAACCACTGGCTTAGAAGGTAATAGTAAAAGAAAGAATACCAAGGGAGGTGCCACACCAAAAACTCCATTTTCTGGTGAAGGATAAAAATACAGGCAATTTACTAGAAAGAGGGTAAATATAGATATAGCCATTTGCAAAGTGGCTATTCAGACAGCCCTACTTCAGCCTTTTGAAAATAAGTAGGCATGCCTAAAAAAGCACAGGAGTAATGCTCTTTGTATGAAAGGTAAGAATAGAGAAGCTGTAGGGTTGTATTCATTCCAATGGAGGAATTAGTTGGTATAAAATTGTAACATGTATCCCAGGAATGTTCACATCAAGAATTTTTTTTTTTTTTTAAATTTTGGCCCTGGCTGGTGTGGCTAAGTTGGTTGGAGTGTCATCCTTTACATTGAAAGGTGGTGGGTTCGATTCCTGTGGGGGCACATATAGGAGGCAGTCAATCAATGTTTCTTTCTCACATCAATGTTTCTCTCTCTCTCCCCCTTCCTCTTTCTAGAATCAATTAAAAATTTCTTTTTACAAACATTGGAATGAATACTTTAAAAATTAAGGCAAGTTGTACAATTCTGTGAATATAATAAAAACCACTGACTTGTGTACTTTAAAAAAGAAAAGCATAGTGCAAGCTGCTGCTGCATTTACACATGCAGGAGAGGAAAGTGGGAATGAAGCTTCCAGCAGGTGTCCATCCCCTGTGGGAGGATCTATAGGGCAGTCAGGATACAACCAGAAACTAGTCTGCTGAGTGTCCAATAGAACAAGGCACTGGGAAAACCAAATAGTATTTAACAGGATCAAGCTCGGATCATGCAAGAGTGTCAAATTAATAGACTGCTGTTACATTCACTGCATTCCCCAGGTGCCACAAAGATCCTTATATAAAGGGAGGGGTGGGAATTAAAAATATTAAGACTCTCACCATGAAGCAACAACCCTTCAAGTTCCCTTTACTAAGTAGGTTAGTTATAGAACTATAGGTATTGTCCCCAGTGTTTTAAAAGTCCTATGGTATTTAATTTTAAAAACATTTCAGACACTCTGCCCACCGACACTTTGAAGAACTCACAAAGAAATGGGGAGTAAAGTTTTGCGTGAGATGTAATAATGTCAAACCAAAGCTAAACATTTACAGTGCTAATGAAAAGAAAAAAAAAAATCACTTTAGAACAATGGAACATGGAACATTCCGGAGAGCAGCACAGCCTTTCTGGCAGCCTGTAAGTAGTATATACAACTTAATTTTGCATTAAACTCCTAATGCTCAGAAACAGCAGACTGTGTGGAAAAAGACATGTGTACATACACACTCAGAGCATATCTGATTGAACCAAAAGGATATTTTACTAAATATGGAGAAGCTGTGACTAAGAACATGTATAATTAATCAATATTTGTTTACTGACACTGGTCAAATAAAACAAAAAAAAGATGTAAGGTTGCCATCTAAGAAGGAAATGAAAGACTTGCTTCATATAAATGTAAACATTATTTTGACACAGGAAAAAACGGATACAAAAACAAATCTAAAAGTTATATACTTACTTTGTCTAATTAACCTTTTGTCAGCAACCAAAACATTTTCAGCATCCACAATGATTACCTTCCCATCTCTAGGACCAACTGCAAAATTGTCAAAGCTGACGTCCAGGAGGTAGAGTGCAAATTCAAAGTCATTGTTAGTAAGCTGCTCTGCTATTTCCATTAATTGCCAAGCCAGGTCAACTCGTTTTTCCCATGGTGCATTAAAGTAGCTCCACAGTTCTTCTCCAACATAATTTACAGCCACCATTCTTCCACAAGCTCCAAGATACTTTGCAAATGGCCAACCTTCATCAGATGGAAAAATCTACAAAAGAATTATCTTAATATTATAAGCAATTCTGATGAGGATATCCTAAATCTATCCCTAGATCCTTTCAGTAGAGATTGCTACTAGGCACGAGCTTGAATTTTCTTGTTATAGTCAATAGTGCAGCAGAGAGAAATGTCATTTCTTTTCCAACTCATACCTTTACTATGGTTCTGAAAAATTTTTTTTTAAAAAATAGCTTTTGCTGAAACCGGTTTGGCTCAGTGGATAGAGCGTTGGCCTGTGGACTGAAGGGTCCCAGGTTCGATTCCGGTCAAGGGCATATACCTGGGTTGCAGGCATATCCCCAGTGGGAGATGTGCAGGAGGCAGCTGATCGATGTTTCTCTGTCATCGATGTTTCTAACTCTCTATCTCTCTCCTTTCCTCTCTGTAAAAAATCAATAAAATACATATATTTTTTTAAAAAAATAGCTTTACATTATAAAGCTAAAATATTATATTTTATTGCTTACTAAAATCTTGGACCAAATTGACCAAATAACAAAACAAAAGATACTTTATTAGAAAATTTTAAAGTATTTTATGTTTCCTTTATCTTTCTGACGTATGTAAGGACAATCAACCAATCCTTTCTTTTGAATGGACAGCACTGCAGGCCTATTAGTCTGCATGTATTTACCACACACCAGGCACTGTGCTTTGGCTGGCAATAAGAGTGGACAAAACAGAGTCTCTAAAATAAAGATGTTAGAAGACAGATACCAAACAAATAATCTATCCTATATAATAAAAGGGTAATATGCAAATTTACCCTAACAGCGGAAGGACCCGAAAGACCACTGGACCAGTCATTATGAAGGGCACTGACCACCTCTTGGTCCCTTTTCCTGGCCAGCAGGCTCCAATAGCCTGATGACGAACAGGAAACTGGGGGTGGGTGGTGGGGACACAGAGGGCACCAGGTCAAGGCCCCCACCCCTCCAGTCACCCTACACATAGAGGGGGATCCACAGTGGGGGCAGGGCTGGTGAGCAGGCAGGAATAGCTGACCTTTTGGTCCCTTCCCCTGGCAATCAGGCACCGGTCAACCCATGGCAAACAGGGAACCAGGGGTGGGTGGTAGTGGGGCCAGCTGCAGGCAGCTGGGAAAGATGGCCCTGATCGCAGGCTAGGCCTAGGGACCGTACCTGCGTACGAATTTTGCGCACCAGGCCTCTAGTCTATATACATAAAATCCTAAGCGACCATTCAACTGGTAGATATGATGCGCACTGACCACCAGGAGGCAGACGCTCCGACAGGTAAGTTAGCTTCCTGTTGGGGTCTGGCCAATGGGAACTGGGCGAGATAGGCTGGACACACCCTGAAGCCCTCCAGTGGTCCCTCCTGGCCCGATCATGCATCAGTGGGGTCCCAGATTGTGAGAGGGTGCAGGTCAGGCCGAAGGACCCCACCAGTGCACGAATCCATGCACCAGATCTCTAGTTATGAATATAATAAGTGTCAGTTACTAAGAAGTGGTGTAGGTTCTAGGGGTGGAATTCAGAGGATTCTGGGAAGTGTCTTTTAACCTACCCCTATCTTAGCAAGGTTTTCTAGCAGATTTTATTATAACTACTGGGAGGATTAACATCCTAAAACAGAAACCTTCCATGACCATGAACAATTATTTTCTTTTTATTTTTTTTAAATATATTTTATTGATTTTTTACAGAGAGGAAAGGAGAGAGATAGAGATAGAGAGTTAGAAACATCGATGAGAGAGAAACATCGATCAGCTGCCTCCTGCACATCCCCCACTGGGGAAGTGCGCGCAACCCAGGTACATGCCCTTGACCGGAATCGAACCTGGGACCCTTCAGTCCCCAGGCCGACGCTCTATCCACTGAGCCAAACCGGTTCCGGCAATTATTTTCAAATTAAATAAAACGATAGGCTTTATCTGAGGTACTTTCTAGTGCTAAAATGCCCACCGACAAAAGGATGGGAAGTAATATTTTAAAGAACTTCTTGGAAAATCATATGACCAGAGGAGGTGTGTTTTATTTGTTTGTTTTATAAATATGTTTTTATTGATTTCAGAGAGGAAGGGAGGGAGAGGGAGAGAGAGAGAGAAACACCATTGATGAGAGAGAATCATTGATTGGCTGCCTCCTACACGGCCCCTACAGGGAATCGAGCCTACAACCTGGGCATGTGCCCTTGACCGGACTCAAACCCAGGACCCTTCAGTTCACAGGCTGATGCTCTAACCACTAAGCAAAACCGGTAGGACAAGGTATGTTTTAAGAGCCATTCCTTCAGCCTTACACCTTTCTTAAATTGGGAAAAAAAATTCTGAGAAAATGATGTTTGTACCAGTACTGCAGGGAAAACAACGGAAAACACTGCAGAATAGAAATGTGCCTATTTCTATTGATAAAAATTAAACAATCCATATGTGTTAAGAGAGCTGGAGATGGGGCTTTTCTTCTTGAACTTCTCAAGAAAGTAATATTAACTTTAGCCTTAGCTTTTATAAAACTGACAAAACTTAAGTCTTACATTAAAATTTTTATCAAGACTTAAAAAATGGTGTAGGGGAGAGAGAAGATGGCGGCGATATAGGCAGACGCGTCCCAGGTCGTGTCCAGGAGCAAATGGAGTGAGCAGCTGAAACTAATAGCACCCACCCTGAGTTGGTGAAAGGGCTCAGCTGGTGAGACGGTTTGCAGCCGGGAAGAGCAGAACTCCCCTGGAAAGGTAAAAGGAACCCAGGGATTTGGGCAGGAAAGTTTGCCGGACCTCTGAGCCCAGAAGGC